AGGAACTGAGATTGCTGGTGACTATATCTAAAATTGCCAGGGAAAATTTCACCCCAGCTCTTTGAAATTCACTTAAATTATATTCTACTGAGCAAAGTTATATGCAGGATCTGGCTTACTGGAATGGCTTTAGTGTAGCGAACCAAGTAAGATTTGACCCCTAAAGCTCAGCCGTGTGCTCAGTTAAGTTAAATAGGAGCCTAAGAGGAGCACTTGCATTTGGGACAGAATACAGTGGTGCCTCTGCAGCAGCAGCCAAACTTCCTGCTGCCACCAGCATCCTCCGTGCCAGGTCTCCGGAGCCACTGTGAATGGAACCTCCCTAGTTTTGTCCTTGGCACCAGCTCCTCCTAATAAAATCTTTGGAAAGGGAATATCTTTCAGGGCAGTTTCTGTAACTCTGCTTTCCTTACTGAAGTGCCAGTAGTTACTGCAGCATGAGAATATTGGGTACATCTTTAGCTGACAGCGTGTGGGGTTGGTTTCCTTGTTTTCCCCCCCCAGGGAAAAGGCCAAGGAAGCACCGAGACAAGCAGTTAAGGGTCTGTTACTGCCAGGACCCCCATCACCTGGGGAGGCTGCAGTGCTTTGCTGAGGGAACAGTAGCACTGGGCAGGAAAGTAGCAAGAAATCTGGCTACAGAGCGGGAAGGGTCATCGCTAGAACACTCTGAAATGTTTCTGCACAACAGCGTGTAGATGTTAGAAGGAAACCAGTCAGCCAGTCTGTACAGACTGAGAAAGCAGGCAGGTTTATGTAGTCATAAAGCTGTTCTACACTCCTGTCTGGATAGAAAAGCTTTGGGTCTTAAATGCCTGATCTCCCACAAAGACCAAATCGCACTCGTTAAGGTATTGAGCTTATCAGTCTCGTTCACATGTTCTCCTTCAACTGAACCCCGCTTTGCAGGAGTGGTTTTGGTGGTTGTTGTTTTACTTATTTTGTCATATGTAGTGATAGATATGGAAATACTTTTCACAGTGTATGTGGGAAAACATATTTAAATCATTCTTTCTTATTTTAGTAAACTATTTGTAAGTGATATCATTATCACTTTACAAAGCTATATCGGCACCTCACTGTATTTCTGCTTGAAACGGTGATATTCAAATACCTTAGGAATTCATGCAGTAGGAATGACTAGATGCCAAGAAAATGGAAATTCAGTACTGTGCAACTCTATTGCAAAAACATAGTGTTTATTGTCCCTTCTTTTGTCCATCCTTTGCTGTGGGAAACACAAGAATGGCAAGCGGGGCAGCTGACACATAACGCGGTTCGGATATGGGTGACACATCCGAATTGCTTCGGAAGCTCTGTGGCACAGTTCTGTGCCACAAGGAGTACTCCATAGGGTGTATATGCTCTCTAAAAATGATGGTCCTCCTTGAAAGCCGCTTTCTACCAAACTGCTTGTCACACATTATTGGCCTCAACAACTGCCTATGAGTTTAAAAAAGATCTGCTTGAATGGGCATAAAATCTCCAGATTTGTCATAACTGATATTTTGGAAGGAATAGGTGTTCTCTCGCTTCTTGAAAACATAGCGAGGAGAACAGAGATGATTCCATGCTTCCAGCATTTATTTTTTTTTCATCTTTGGTCACTGAGATATGTAGAAAATAGCACGAAGGCTTGTACCAGCAATTTGGTCAATAATGTGAAAATGGAACCTCTGAGAACGAGAACTTAAAGCAAAACTGTTTTAAAATGCTCGGAACATGTCAGAATAAGCACGGTTAATGAAGCTAACTCTAATTTCAGTGTAATAAAATAAGAAGTTAGTCCAATATCTACTGTAGTTATTTCCCTGTACCTGTATGTCCAGGAAGTCTCTCACGGAGAAACAGTTTCCTCCACGCTTAGTTCTCGCTTCCTATGGCCATTGAAAAAAAGCTAATTTTATGAAGTATGGTCCCTCACTTTGTTTTCCTGTCCATATCTTTGATGCAGTGGAATAAATAAGGCAATATTAATTACCATTCTCTTAATATGTATGCTAGTATTTTCATTTTCTGTTGATCTGTTCTTCATGCATTCGCAATATGCTAATGTTCTTCTGAAGTGCAAAGGCAAGTCAGATAAATACAGCTGTTAAGACTTTTTTTTAAGAGTTTTAAGACAGGTAGTACCAATACGTTGCACATTTAGAAAAAAAAAAAAAAAAGACCTCTAGAAGCTGAAGATACCTGAAAAGCTTAGATTGTAAGTCTGTCCATCTATGCAAACTGAGAAGATAGACAAGCACTCCAAACTGTCCTAAGCCACTTCTTGTACTGATTTGATAATTAGCTTAAAGCAACGGGGCACAAGATTGACAGGGTTCACTTTTGAAACTGGTTACTGTAAGAGGCCTGGCCTGTTCTAGTACAATTGACTTCACCTAGGTGGATTTGGGAGGGATTTATGGGCAGCCATTAGAGCACAGAGATGCAAAGAAGGCAGTGAGGAAGTAGATTTAAAAAGCAACAAGAAAGAAGGGGTGAAATTGAAACGCTGTATTGGAGACTTTCTGAGCAAAATACAAGTGGCTGTTCTGGAAATGTGGGTTTCTTCATAGTGCTCTGGAATCCAGAGGTTTGACAGGGCTGGGGGGACACTGAGACCTCACATGCTGTGCACTGCATAGACTGGTTTTCTGAATGTTCTGCTGCTTTGTAGCTGGAGAGCTATGTGCAGAAGGTTGTAACCGGAGAAGACAAGTAGATTATTGCTGCAAATGATTACAGCATGATGCTCTCCTCTGTACAGTGGTACCAATCCAGACCTATGTCGACTCATGCTGGTAGTCATGAGTTTTATCCATGTCTACACTGGTTCAACTCTCTTAAGCAAAGTTAGAGTGAGGAAGGGATTTAAAGAATCAATAAAAGTACTGGAGAGCAAATGATAGCCAGCTCAACTGTTCTGGGCTAATGTCAGAGGAAAATTCAGGAAACAAAAATGTAAAACTGTTGCTTGTTGACTCTGTCCAGTCTCAAATATATCTTTCCTCTGATGTTAACAGATCAACCTTGATCATCTTGTTGATCATTTTTTTATGCTCATACTTCACATTCCCAGACACCTTCACGTATGCACACTGCAAACTGTGCGGATAAGGGCAATATTGCTCTGCCAGAACCTGTCCAATGCCAAGACACTGTTACCTAACTGTAACCTCCAGAGATGGGTATCTGTAGGGACCCCACATCCCAAAGCAGTTGCCTGGACTCTACATTTCCATCTGTACATTACTTAAGCTGTGTTGAAAGGGAGAGCTATGCAGAAGATAGAAGCTTAGATTAGGATAGCCTGATGTAACAAAGATGTAATACATAAATAGCACAAGAATAGCAATATCTGTTGTTAAACAGAGGTGCTGAGATCTTTACATATAGTTCCTCCAGTTAACTGAGGGACAAAATCCTAGATATAGCAGTTATTCCCTACCAACTCTGGAATAGATGTTCTAAGAAAGATGGTTCTTCCTTTAAACCTAAGATGCTAAGAAATTTAAAAGCTGAACTCTAGTCTTTATTTTAACCATCCAGTCCTTTGACAGCACTGCAGCTGATGTAATTATCCTCACCTATATCTGTGAATCCCCTTGAGTCTTTCTACTGTGCAGTATCTCAATTTAAATTGCTTAAATATTAGCTAAAACTATTATTTGCTGTAATTAACCTCTGCTACAGTGACACCTCTGGGAGGGTAAAGCAGGATATCACTGATAATGACTTAGCGTAGTAAGAAAACAGTTGAAATTTTCAGCAATGAAAAAAGCACATCCTAGAAAAGATGTACTAAGAAATGCATGTGCACTAATACTGTGTTTAGTTGGCTAAAACTTTCACTGAAGGCTCTTTGGACACAATGAAGCAGACAGGGGAAGAGGTGCCAGCGTGGGCCTGCAGACAGTCGATGATGGGCGCTGCGACCATCACCTGAGGAACTGGAAGCCATGAAATCTGTGTTAAGTAGAGCCTTCTGGTTCCCACTGTGCTCAAAGCTTTGTGGGAGCAGCAAGCCCTTCCTAAAAGAGTTAAGCTATTCTCAATCAGTTAGCTGTAATGTTTTTCTTCCCCTCTGTGAGGGGTTGCTGGCTTCTGTAGAGCTCCAACTAGTGTGCTTACCTCCTAATTTAGCAAAGAATTACTACTCTAACTGAAAAGCTGTCAGCCCTTTCTTCAGGTGGCATTTCTTGGGCGTTTTGTTAAAGCACTTAGCTTTAACACAGAATTTTTGCGTTAAAAATGGAAGAAAGGCTTAATAGCAATAGCTTGGTGCTGAAAAGAAGCTTGTTGAAGTTTGTTATGCTGGTATATCACTTTATTCATTAAGCAAGTAGCATGTTCCACAGCACTGTTCTCCAAGGGAAAGGAAGGTACGTTGCCATTTTCTGCCAAGATCAGCAACTATTCCCTTATACAAAACATTTCACAAAAACCAGGGAGCAAAATTAATCCCCTTCTTTTGCTTCATTATTGTATGTTCAGTGCAAGCAAAATGGTCAGGAAAAGATGAAAGAAAGCGCAGTACGACATGTATCCGAGTACCAGATGTTGATATAAACAGAGGGGGGAAAGTAGCTGTGAGTCTGTCTCCTTGCTACTTGAGGAGAACCAGTCAGAACAGGACTGTGCAGGAAAAGCACTGCCATGAGCTCTTGCCGAGGGAGTAATTGGGACACAGCTCAGCACTGTTTGTTTTCATGTAGGTTTAGATAATAAAACACAGAAGGCTGGAAAGAAAAGGGGATTTGATTTACTATTGTTCAGAAACCACATTTTCTTAGGTCTGCAAGCTTCAGCTGTCCCTGTGTTTTTGCTGGGTTATTAGATTTTTTGCTTTGCTTTATATATTTTTTTCCATCTGTGTTTTCTGTTTGGGATAATGAAAGGTTGCAAAGTCTAGAATAGGAAAAAGTGAATGGTGTGCAGCAAGAAAACGAAGTCTCATTTCATTCATTTATTTTTTTGGTGTTTGGCAGGTGGAAAGCGGAGATCTAGAGAACTGGATCAGCTGAGAAGGTGGGGGAAGAGAAACCAAGCCAAGTACAGCATCACTGAAAAGATCTTCAGCTTTATCTAGTGGCATTGCCCCAGCAACCAGAAAATACAATCAAAAGACGAGGGCTGAAGCAGGGAAGGTGAAAGGGCGTCTCCCTACCTTTGGACAGAAGGCAGCAAAATAATTATGCAGATCAGAAAAGAATATTTGACCGATGTAGCCAAAGGTTGGGAAAGGGACGTGTCCTTTCAATAACAGGAATGTGCCACAGTTTATACACTGTAAAGGGGAGTGCCATGAGATCTACTGAAAAGACTATTTCTGTGGTTGCATATCTACATGGTTTTGCTCCCCTGCTGGGACTGAATTAGGTGGTACAGGCCCCTTGGACTATCAGGTATTGGATAAAGCTTACTCTTTTTTCTTCCTGTACGAGGCATACCTAGCACGAGAACTGAAAGACACTGCGGGTCTTTTTCAGAAGATACAAAGAAACCGAGAGAATCTCCTGCCTTTCCCTTCTGCACCAGCCTGCTGTACCATGGGATGTAGGCAAAGCTCTGAGGAGAAAGAGGCCGCGCGGCGGTCCCGGAGGATTGACCGCCACCTGCGCTCTGAAAGCCAGCGGCAGCGGAGAGAGATTAAGCTCCTGCTCCTGGGTACCAGCAACTCTGGCAAGAGTACGATAGTAAAGCAGATGAAAATCATCCATAGCGGAGGCTTCAACCTGGAGGCCTGCAAGGAATACAAACCCCTGATCATCTATAACGCTATCGACTCCCTCACGCGGATCATTCGGGCTCTAGCCACCCTCAAGATAGAATTTCACAATCCCGACAGGGCCTACGATGCTGTGCAGCTTTTTGCCCTGACGGGCCCAGCCGAGAGCAAGGGCGAGATTACCCCCGAGCTCCTGGGGGTCATGAAGCGGCTCTGGGCAGACCCCGGCGTGCAGGAGTGTTTCTGCCGCTCCAACGAGTACCACCTGGAGGACAACGCCGCCTACTACCTGAACGACCTCGAAAGGATTGCGGCGCTGGACTACATCCCTACCGTGGAAGATATTCTCCGTTCTCGGGACATGACCACAGGGATTGTAGAAAATAAGTTTACCTTCAAAGAGCTGACTTTCAAAATGGTGGATGTGGGTGGGCAGCGATCGGAGCGCAAAAAGTGGATCCACTGTTTCGAGGGGGTTACAGCAATAATTTTCTGCGTGGAGCTGAGCGGATATGACTTGAAGCTATATGAGGATAACCAAACAGTGAGTGCATCTTCCTTTCTTTTCCTACCTGCCCTTCTTCCTCAAGTAGAAATGTGTTTTATTTATTTATTTTCAATGATTTTTGCTGAATGTTCAGGCTTATGTGGTTAAGCGTCCCCTGCCAGGGGATGCCTGGGATCACAGGGAGGGGTGGTTGGGAGTAGACATCCTGGGGTAAGGGGGTGCTTAATGGGAACATCACGTTTTGGAAGCCCTGGGAAGTCTTGAATTTAAAACAGTAACAAGTAACATTTGAGAAATGAGAAAATGTTTGAAATATTCTTTTTTTCCCATGATTTTCAAGCAGGATTTGGGATATTTTGAAACTGGTTTTATATATATATTTAAGTTTTCATACTAATTAAATGTTAAGACTGTTACATAGCTATTTTGCCTTATGCAGTGAAAAACTGTGCCCTGAAAATCAGAGGGTTAATCTTACAGTGCTTCTACTTTTCTTGTCCTCTTGTCCTTAAGCACCTCCAGTTGTTCTACACTTAGAGCTTGTCCGACAAGCTTCTTCGGGTGCTAGAAAACATTGTATCCCTTGATCTTTAACGGAGGTTCATTACTAAAGGGTTGTTGGGAAAGAGACTTTTCCCAACTAAATACTTTTATACGTGCTTGGAATCTAACCAAATGTCAGCAATATAACAGGAGGTAATCTTTCCAGCATGTCTAAAGATTGGATTTGGGGACTTCTTGGGGGAATTGGATTACTAACCACCTTTAGCTGTTGTTGCTAACAGAACTATTTTTTTGTGTGTGTTTGTGTGTAGCAAACATTCCTACATTAGAGTTTTTAGCGTATCCTAAATAGAATTTAGTGTACTGAATACTCAAAAGCTCTAATCTCTGTGATAAAATGGACTTCAAATGCCTGTTTGAATGTGATGCCACTCTGAAGTTGCCATTAGCGTTTGCTATATGCAATTTCCCATTTCCCTTTTCCTTTGCTTTTTCTTCTTTTCTCCCTACTTTCATCATAAAATAATTTCAGATATATTATCCTAATAAATATAGTATAGATACTCTGGCCTTTCTTGCTACTGTTTTATATTGGACTTTTATAGTGTTAATATAGCTGAATTTTATTTTTTTTTAAAAAGGCTTATTAGGGGCTTCTGTATTTTCTAAAGATGCAGAATATCTGATCCTGGTTTTAATAACTACCAGAAGAATTACAGCAGGTTTGCAGAACCCAAAACTTGCATAGCCAAGACCTTACTGAAAGGTATGGCAGTAAAAACAAAAGCTAAACTTCAGCTCCTTCCCTCAAAACCAGCACAAGAATAGAAGATCACTGAAGATAATAGATGTAACTATTCCCTTCAGATACCATGACTAGAAAAGGAGCTGGTTAAGTATGATAATATAAAATCTATTCTAATTATTCATAGAGTTAAATTATTTCAATTTAGTCATACATCTAACACTTTGAGCATTTTTAGTTGCTAATACATTTTCCTTTTACAAAGATTCTTTTTTTTTCATATTAACAGGGAGCTAAGTGAAAAGTTTGAGGAGTAATTATACGTAAATTTGAACCAAGACTGCAGAATAGTTTCCACAAATATTCGCTCTGACAAGATTGCCTTATACGGCTGAATCTTTTCTATGTGCACTTTCTCTGATTCTTCAAGGAAAAGAATTATATTCTTTCAAGAATGTTCATCTAAGCTGAATTTTGATCAAATACTTCAGAAACACTTCCATTTTGCTTCAGCTACAATATCCAATATGAACTAGTAATTAACATTCTATAGACTGAGATAACAAAGACAATTTTTGTACAGAAACACTTTAGAAATTTGTCTGCAAATAGAAAATAGAAACCTTTCAGTGAATAAAAAGCTCTACTGCAGAAGCAAATAAAATACGCAATCTCACATTAAAGAAGTTGGGAAAAAGATTCTCAATAAAATTAAACTAGCAATGCACAATACTGTCTTCAAAGTTCAAACTGTATCTAGCCAAAACTTCATTTAATTCCAGTGCATTTTTGCACTTCCAAAATCCATAACAAGTCAAGCGTACTATTGTGTTTACATCAGGCATTGTACAGGATTACATACCGCTTTTTTCCCTCTGGAATACAAGGAAAGAACAAAACCTGTCCGTAGTGTCATATAATACCTTTTCTGAGAGAAAAACATGCTATCTTCGTGATACAAAATATTTTAAAATGCTTCTGCTTGAGGCATGCTATTTAAATGTCAGAAAAATCAAGAGACATTAGGATACTTTGAAAGTAAGTAGGTAATGTAGCCTCAGTTATGTGGTGGTCTGACAGTATCACCCTATCTTTAAAAGCCTAGATCTTAGTCACGGCTCGCACGGTCGAGGAGGGCCCGCTGCCTGCCCCGGGCAGCGTGGTGCATGTCTGGCATCTGTTCAAGTTTCTCTGCGTTAGTAATTTTTGCCTTGCAGAGATACTGCTGCATCCAGCCTAAGTTCATACTCGATTAACTGGTACTGTGTTTCCTCTGTAGCCATGAATGGTAGGCTTAACATGCTCTTGTACCGCAGACAGGCGCACGCTCAATTTGCCTGCAAATCTCCCAGTTCCCGGTTACCAAGTGGTGTTCCTGTTCTTTACTAGCGGGTTTGTGTAGAAGTAAGTTGAACTTAAATCATAGATAAATGGAGACATCTTTTGTGCAGACAACTTTTTGTTCCTTTTGATCCCAAGAAAAAGTCCTGTTTAGTTTGATAATCACAGTAATGTTTAGACTAGCAGACTGGTATCAATAAATTCCTTTGATGTTACTGCAGTATGAAAGTTAAAAGGGAAGGATTCCTCAGGATTGTAACAGGGCTGATTTGCAGCTGAACTAGTGAAGGCATTTTGATATGGGAAAACAATTAATTATTAGTACTAATTGGATAATCGGAAGGCATGAAACCTAATGTATGGTGGTGTTACACATGTCGTAGTGTATTATACATACGCATATATAATACTTAATATTTCCCTTATTTTTCTATTTATATAGTGACTTTTACAGCTTATCCACTGCCCTTCCATTTTCATCTGTGTACTAGAGGAACGAATTCCTGGTTTTGCACATGAACTTGTTTCATGCTCAGACACTATTAGTGTCTTCCTATTGTAATAGGAACCAATTTTTCTTGTTTTGGTAACCTCTCCTTGATATGAGAGAAACAATGTCTACATTTTTTTTTCTCTTCGTTTTCACAGACATTAAGAAGAGCATTTCTTATTTAAGTCTAGGCTATGACTGGGAAATTATTGGTTTCTTGCAGTTCTTCAGACTTTTCCTGCCTTTTTCTTCAGACTTCAAAATTAAATAGTAGTAGTCTATGGGCAGAAAAATCAATATACTCTGAAAAACCCTTATAGATGATGATTTAGATTCCAGCCTCTAGAAAAAATTAAGTGTCTTCCCAAGGGATGTTCAAGCCCATTTTTACCTAACATTAACAGGCTGGACTATGGCTGCATCACAGTGACAGGCTGGATCATAATCTCCTCTGATCTGTTTTTAACAGATTTTTACCATGGACGTTTTCCTCTATCAGGAAACGTCTCTGAACGTTTCTGAATCTTCAGTTCCATAACATTTTATATATTCTTTTTGCCTCGTTTGTAATAAATATAGCCTTATCTTTCCATCCCCACAGCTAGTATGACTCAACTAGCTAACAGCTGCATCACTTGACACAGATGCAAACTAGGTTTGTGCACTACCTTTCCAAGGCTCTTGACAAGATTTTTATTTCTGACCAAACTTCTGAGAATGTTGCCTTATTATTATTATTATTATTTTAAAAGCACGATGATTTTATATCAAACAAATCACTTGTCTTAATTTCCCAAGACCTCTGCAGTCTGGTTGACCATTCTATCTTTCATTCTATATTAAGAAGTCATCTCTGGGCTTCAGTAAGCCTTGCCTCAATCATCTGCTTGTTAAAATTTTTGTGATGCAGGAGATGCATGTGCAGAACTTGTTTGTCTTTAATAGTTCTATTTTATTCATATATATATATATATATGTAAATAAATCAAAATTCCCTGCTTAAACCTGACTTAAGGTTTGGTTCATTTAAATTTTCTTTCTTAAAGCAATTGCAAGTGAGTGAATAACTGAAGGATTAGGCTTTTGTAAGGCTGCACTTTGAATATAGCATCTTCTTCAAAGTAAGACACAGAAGAGAGATGACAAAACACTGCAGCAAACAGTTCAGACTGTAGTAGGCCTTGTGGAAAACAAGTCTTTTGGTTCATGATGCAGCCTTTATATTGTTTAGTCTTTATATTATTTAGCTGTACCTTACTTGGAAAGCCCTGTCAGTGAGCAGCTGTATGAAAGCCAGTTTCTTCCAGGATTATTTTTACTTTTTAATTTAAGCATAGAATTATGTTAGCTTTTCCCCCTTTCTTCCCTGAGATAAAATTCTCTAGGACCTTGCTTGCTTTTCTTAATGCTTCGTTTTTTTTGAGCATACACTAAATTAAAACTCCTTTCAGGCATGCAGCTCTTCTCCCACAATACTAATAATAGCTGTGAGGACTGGAGAAACTGTGATTACACAGAATTCATAGCCTTATTAGCACTTACTACTAACAGTGGTAAAAATCCACACTAGCAAACACTGTTCTAGGTGAAATATCTTTCTAACAAGCTTGGTCCCTTGGGAACCTAAGAAAAAAATTGACCTAAACCATTTAGGTGTTCTCATTTTTGTAAAGCATTTGCATTTCAGGATATTTCAGTGTGATCTTTGCGTGGGAGCAAAGCCTAGATGACTTCAGTGTTCATGTGTGTAATCTCCCAGCACTGAGATTGGAATTCTAGCCTGGCCTTTTTTTCACTTTAGAAAGCAATATACATTATTCTTTACAAAAGTTTAAAAGGATATAATAATTATATAATGATATATCAAAGTTCCAGGCAATTAACCTTGCTGAATATGTGTATATCTAAGTGTAGGATTGGTGTGGCCAGGGGTGAAAACAGTGGTCTGATTGCTTG